ATCCATGTACAATGTGTATAATGTGTATACATTGAGTCAGAATAATGTTTACTTCTTGTTTTTAATTTGTATCTATACATTTCATATTATAATACTAATTAAATGTTCTTGCACACTGAAGATACGATGCTGCATCTGCACTATTGGACCTAGGAGCACTTTCCAGTTGCCTTTTTCAGGTGTAAACCTCAGTGCTACATAGGTCAAATGCATAGAAATTACATCCATTGTTTTTCTTGTCCTCTCTTTTTTGTTCCAACGCAAATAAACCACTTCTGCAGGCTCTGAAATGGATCAGCACCATACTCTTAATAGATAATTTAGGTACAACCATGAAGGTACTCAAACATAAATCACTTTCATGGACATTTTACAGCTTCCACTTCAACTCATGTTAATGATCATGGATCATTAATCCCTTACAGCCAGTCCTTATTGGTTTTTGTTTGACTATTACTTAAAACGGAAGCAATTTCACATTGAAACATCTCAGTCTTACGTTCTTTAAACATTTCAAATGCTCATACTGAGAGAAAATATATTTTCAGCTTTTTTTCCTCTATTAAAAGTAGGGAGTATCGTCCTAAAGAATTAAAATAGATTGGAAGGGAAATACAGGCCATGCAGAGAATATGGTCTTAAAAAGGGGTAAGGCAGACAGGCAAGCTGGCTTTCTTTAGAAAGCTCTCAAAGTCCTGCCACAGCTACTAAAGTCCACAGGACTCAAGCACCACTTGATAAATGGTACCATAGGCCATAGGCTTCCTCTTGAAAATTACAACCAAACAACACATGTACTATATCCAGATGCTTTCACTTTTGCAAGGTGGAAAGAGCTTCCTGGTAACTCCCACCCTTTGGTGGTGGTTGAGGCACTAGACCCTTCTTTTTCCATGGGGCAGAGACAGCAGCAGGAGGTTTTACCACCTCCTAGGCAGCCAGTCCCCTGCCATCATCCAGGGAAGCATCTTGGGAGCTACAAGAGACCTATGGCATTACTTCTTGTGTTGCACCCCATGGAAAATGATACAGACTCCATGGTGAAATCCATTTATTAATTAAACCCCCTTTGCAATCAGCAGAATAATAACTTAATTAACTAATAACTTAACAGGTTTGAGGGGTGTTTACAAATGCACACATTACTGCATCAGTTAGGTCACAGTATAAAGCTTCTCAAATGTAATTAAAAACTTCAATTTACAAACACAAAAGTCTTCTTGTAATCATGAAATTTTGATAACCTGGAATACTCCAACTAGTAGTCTTTCCTAATTGCCCAGTCTCAAATGAATGTTGCAGATCACCTTCTGTTATTAGAAGGCAAAAAAAGTGGAGCATTTTACTAGTGAGCTTGTTCTTTTTGAAATCTTCATTGAAGTTGAGACTTCATGATAAACAATACAAACAGCTGATGTGCACATTTGGAGATTTCATTAACAACATTACAGACAGTTGTTTTATAAAGCTCTGTACAGTCTATGAAGCAGAGTATGACCTTCCTGCCTGCCTTTGGGTAGGAGACTCGAGATAGTGCTTTGCTTTTTTTTGTTAAGCTGTGCTGCTGCAGTATGTGCCTACATCATTGTCATCAGAAGCAATTCATGCATTAGTTCCCTTCTTTTGGCATGACTTTCCAGACTTACTAACTGCTCATTATAGGTCACCATTAATCCCATGTAGTCACATGACTAGAAATGCTGTGTTATTTTATTAAATAAATGTACTCACAGTTACCATGACAACAGTGGGTTAAACAATGGAGCTGCTTCCAGTTTGATTAGCAACAGTGAGGATTCTGTAGTGACAGTAACCTCAGCAGACACTTCCCTTCAAGGTAACAGGGTCAGCAAGTGGAGTCTCTTTCACATGCAAGCACACTTCCAAATACAACTCTGCATATCTCAAGGCCTTGCTCCATGATAATCAAGCTCCAGAGCTACTTAAAGAATACCACACAGTGCAAGACAGCAAGGCTGAAAATTTCACAGTCCAAGCAGATAATCTGTTCTGCCTTTCCCACCAGCCCAAGCCTCATGAGTGCTCTGCATCTCGGTCTTAACCTTAAGTCATCCATCAAAGAAATTCATACTGTGCTACCTAATCCATGACTAAAGCCCAGGTAGGAACCTGACCTTTCTCACCTCAGCAGTGGTGATGCTGTGGGAGCCGTCAAATGAGCAGCAGCTTCTGGGACTTTTGCTGGAAAACTTCCCATGCTCAAAGCTTGCAGAACCCAGGTTGTAAAAATACAGCCTAGGTTGTAAGAATACTATCAGGATGGTATTAGTATGTTAATACATGCAAGTAGACTTCACCTTCTGCTATGAACTTTTGAATAGCTTTCATGCTTGCTATGAGTTAGTAGTCAGAATCAACAATCCATGTAAATGATCAATGAATCTGAGCTTGACAATGACTGAAAAATCACTAGTAAATGTCTGTACAAACAATCACATTGTTTTGAAAAGACTATTTGGAATGCAATGTAAATTAATATATTACCTGAACTTCACTCTGCCGTGTCAATTTTTGAGTAGCAGTATTAGCAAGAGAACGGCTGATTTCTAGAACAAACAAGACCCATTTACTCCTGTAGCACACTAGGCAAAGCATAAAACTTTAAGGTTTTAATACAATCCATAAAATGAATGGGTTTTGTTATTTTATATTTAAATTTTGTTTAAATTTGAAATAAAAGCGTATACTTCCCTATGAAAAGAAGTATGGTAGGTATTTAGTGTTGGAGTTCCTTGTCAGCCTACCAGTTTTCACAGGTTTTAATGGCTTCTGAAGGAAGAAAATCATTCTTGCATAAAGGAATGCACCACGTAAACCTTCAGGTAGAGTTTTAATAGTCCATACAGCTTAGTGCAATCTATTAGTTTGAGTTAAAATTAACTAAGATGATAAGTAACTCAGTAATACTGAATTAGGGGAAAAAAGTTTTGTGTGTGTGTGTTGGTTTTTTTACACTTTATTAGGGCAAAAGAAACAGAGAAAGATGAAACATAAATACTGGAAACTCCAATTTAAATTCCAGATTGGGTTTCAGTACATTTACTAACTGCACACCCTTTCACTGTGCTCACATGTGTACTGCAGCATCTTCCAGATTTGCCACCTCTGACAATGAGTAAATGACTGTAAAATACTTTGCTTTTTATACTCCTGCTGTTGCAGAAATAAATGCAGAGGTCATAGTGCCAGAAGCAATTCCTACCATAGTTTTCCTCTACTTGGCAGAGCAAGAGCAGCTTTATCCAGGGGATTTTACTACCTCTAGGTGCTGGTTACAGATCAGCCCTGGCTTCATAGATTGACCAAGATACCAGAAACGTTCTGTTGGACTGAAATTGATTAAAGAAGTGAACTTAGACAGACATCAGCATGATTTGCAGTGTACAACACTACATAATTAAGTTTCTTTCTGGATTTTAATTAGCAAGACCATGGTTTCTATAGAAGGTTAGCAAATTCCTGACAATATGCATGTAAAAACCTGGAAATAATTAAAAAAAGACAAAAATAGCCATATAAAGGCTTCTGGAACTAAAGCTGGGTGATTATGCAAGCTAAATTTAGCAAAAAAAAATCTTAAAGAATGAACATTACTTAGGGTCAGGAGAAGGATACATCAGCCTTCTTTCGGTAAGGAAGACGGAACAGTTAAAATGAAATCTAAGTTAATCATTATGAATGAGGCTGCTTTCCTTGATTTGATCAAACAGGTAACTGAATAATTTTAGTCAGGTTTTTCTGTCTCCACTCTCTCAAGATAGAAAGCAGCTCCTCAGCTAGAGAAGAGAGCTGTAATTGTTGTTCTGGATTTTGGGTCACTTCTCTGATGTAGGACAGTTTAGACTTCTCGGGTTCACCTACATCCTATGCCCCTTTCATACTCAGGGTCATCTTGCTGTTCTACTGCACCCTTTAAATCCTACTTTCTAATCCAAGCCTAGAATTTTTGGACTAGATTTTTGATAATCTTATTTGAAGTAATCCAGCCCCTCTTTGTTACAGTGTCTTACTTTGTATGCCCTTTGACTTAAGTACGAAATCACAAAATTCCAGAATGGGTCAGGTTGGAAAGGGCCACAGTGCATCATCTGGACCAACCTTCCTGTTCAAGCAGGGTCATCCCAGAGCACATGGCACAGGATTGTGTCCAGATGGTTCCTGAATACCTCCAGTCAGTGAGACTGCACAACCTCTCTGCACAGTCTGTTCCAGTGCTTGGTCACCTGCACAGTGAAGTTGTTGCTCCTCATGTTCAGGTAGAACTTCCTGTGCATCGGTTTCTGCCCATCGCCTCTTGCCCTGTTTCCTGGCACCAGTGAGCAGAGCCCAGCTCCATCCTCTGACACCTCCCTTCAGACACTGACAGACATGGATGAGGCTCCCTCTCAGTCGTGTCTCCTCGAGGCTGCACAGGCACAGCCCCCTCAGCCTTTCCTCCTAAGAGAAATGCTCCAGTCCCTCACCCACCCTCAATGCCCTCTGCTGGACAATAATTACATAGGAATTTTTGCAAAATAACTACATTAACTGTGTGTCACACAGCAATTCCCAAGAAGCGGGAATTACTCAGGCCTCCTTTCACTCCCTCCGCTGGTAAACAAAGCTCACTGAGGGACCACGAGCTTATCAGGAGCCAGTGCTTAAGGCCGAGGTCAAATAAGACTCCTGGTGATGTCGTTTACTTATCCCTGGCTTCCTCCACAGCTGGAGTATTTTTTGTCCCCCCACAAGAGGGATTACAGTCGAGATCCCCCGAGGGCCCTCACACTCGCACCGACACCTACGCATGGGAACCCTGAAAACAGAGGCAGCCGCGGCTCCCTCGAAAAGGGGACCGGGCGGTCCCTCGGTGGAACCGCCACACGGCTCCTCCCTCTGTGGGCGGCCGCGGGCCGGGCTGAGCCGAGCGCGGGGCCGGGGCCGCCCGTCCCTCCCCCCGCGGAACTACAGCTCCCGGCGTGCCCCGCGCCGTTCCCATGGCCACGGGCAGCCGGGCCCGCGCCCCGCGCAGCGATGCCCAAGGCCAGGTACCGGGAGCCCTGCCCGGGCTGGAGACAGGGGATCGCTCCCACTGCCCTGGGGGAAGGGGCCGGCGGCCGGGGAGGACATCCTGGAGTGGGAAGGAGGGAGGGAAGGAAGGAGGGCTTAAAACGGGTCGTTCCGGCCTCTACCCCTAAAGCGTGCGGGGCCGAGGGTCCTTGTCCGGTTACTTCTGTAAGGGACCCCATGTGAACTGGGTGTGCAGCTCTCGCTGCCCGAGCAACAGCTTCCCGGCACACCGAGCGCAGTTCCGGAGCTCTCCTGAGCTCCCCGAGCCGTGCTCGCTGCCGGCGGCCGGGAGCTGCCGGCTCCAGAGGCTGCCAGCCTTCCGCAGGCTCCTGACACGCCACACAACCATTTAAAGGTGTCTTAGTACCGCAGTGGGCTGCCCGGGGAAGAGGTGGAGTGAACGTCCCTGGAGGTGTTTTAAGAAAAGCTTGGACGTGGCACTCGGTCTGGTGGTGTTCGGTCGCAGGTTGGACTAGATGATCTCAGAAGTCTTTTCAAACTTAATTGATTGTGTGATTCTGTGATTAAATGTACTCCAAGCAAAGCCTCCTGCTGCACGGCTGGTACGTGCTCGGTATGTGCCACAATTGGCTGTTGGGGTTATTGAGGAATGTCACTTGAGCTGGTTTGAAGGACTTCGACAGAGAGCGGGTGATGTGAAATAATAGTAATCTACACCACAATAACCTTCATTTAAATGTTTTCAGGAATTACGGCCTAAGGTGTGTGTTTTCTCTAATTATTCTCTTCTTACTGTGTTTTCTTCCAACTAGTGATACTTTATGGGATCTTGCTATAGCTGAAGTGGAGAAGAGAGAAAATCCTGATAATGATGATGATGTCAAGCCAGGGGAAGTTTGGGAAAAATCAATACTATTTATGGGAAACAAAAACGGGGTAATCTAAATATCATACAATTCTAATCTTTTCAAACATAATTTGTGTTTCGTAATTTCCGATTCATTTTCAGGTTCACTTAATTTTTAAGACATAATATCTCATGGTCTCATTTTACAGAGGTCTAGTTGATCGCTAATACCTGTTTTAAGTACAGTTCCTATTGCTATATTTGTCACGTCTATTAGTTTATACTTATAATAATGGTAGCGTAACTTGATTCTGACTGAAAATTGGACTTAAGTTTCCACTATAAGGCTGCAAATAGTTACATGCATTTGCAGTTTTCTGGTACTTTATTATTGGAATGTTAAACGAATTTGATTTAGTGATACAACTTTATGCCTTAAAGACAGACTTCCTTTTTGTTTTTAATTTCCAGGGAAAGACCACTATCATATTGAGATGCCTTGAGAGGTATGTGTTAAATATTTTAAAGCAGTTTTCAGCTATAGATAAAAAAACAGTCATATTGTGTGATAATTCATAATACATGCATGCAGATGTGTTCTGTGACTGGTTGATCACTTAGGAATGAACTCATTTCCCTTCATTATAACCTTTCAGGTGACCCTTTCAGTCCTTCTCCAGTGTTAGCTGAAATGAGTCATTCCTTTGGGCTGGTGCTGCTGCTTCTCCTGTCTTCAGTAGCTGACACCTCCTGTCTAAAAGTGTCTTCTCTGTACTGGTCTCTCTAAGCCAAATTCTGAACTGACTAATAAATACAATCTAGTAACTGTAGAATTAACTTCCTTTCTTTAGAGGATCTTGACAAAATTCAGTTACTTTTCCTTTAGGGAAGAGTCTCCAAAGCCAACATTAGCCTTGGAATATACTTTTGGAAGACGGGCAAGGAGACACAATACAGTGAGTATAAAGTATAATTTACCTTATCTTTATATATATGCACACACACACTTAAAAATAACATAAAGAAACTCTTTTGCAGCCTAAAGATGTAGCTCATTTTTGGGAACTAGGTGGTGGAACCTCATTAGTGGAACTCATTCGAATACCAATCACTAGCCACAACATAAGGTAAGTGTAAATATTACAATTCCAGAGTTAATTTGAGCTTTCCTTCAAACATTAGTAATCTCTAGACCTCTTGTTTTGTGGAAACCTCTTTCAAAGTCTAAGATGGAACATTTACAGGGTTTTGCCAAGAATCACTGTAATACCATGATGCTTTGCTTTAGTCTTCCTTTTCATGCTTCTCTCCTAAATAAACAAGTTCTAAGTAATCTGAACAAAACGTAGAGGAAGTAGGTTGGCTTTAAGTAGATGGAACACAAATACAGAAAGAGAGAACACATAATATCTTTATGCTCAGTGAAGAGCAGAAAACCAGACTTGGGACATACGAAAAATAAAATCTTGCTTCCTACTTCTGGTGCACACATAGATGCTCTTTCTGTAACAGATATTTTTACGGTGAAAAACAAGGTCAAAAATTGTGACAAAATTTCCTCTTAATGAAAAAGTAATTTCCTGGCAGAGAGATTATTTGAAAACAAAAGGAAACCAAAATTTTGATCAAATTAAGAGAATGTATCCATTCTTAATTATCCATTAAAGTAATGGATAGTATATGGAGAAGAAATGCATGAAAAGTTGCATGAAGAAATGACAAAGGTGGTAGGGGGTACTTCTCATGGTTATTTTGGTTAGGGAAGATGGGAGTTGAAGGGGGAGAAGAGGATCAAAAGATAAGTTTTATATTATGATGCATTGCTTTATTTCATTGGTATTGAGCTTTAACTTCTGAAGGGAAGAAAAAGGAGAGATATTGTGTTTATTGGGTACATTTGCTCCTGTTTTGACTACTGAGATAATGCCATTATTTGCTGAGAGACTAAGACAGAGGGAATAAAAACACTTATGGTATGTGAAGCTCTTTGTCTCTAAAACAGCTTAGGAGAGAAAAAATTAAGTATAATTTTTCAGCCCCAGACTAAATTAAATTAATTGAGCTCTATCTCCATCAGGATGTTCTTCCTTTTTTACTGATAAGGGATTTTTTGATGTGGAGAATCTTAAGATTATTTGCTGGGATAGCAATGTTCTATGAGAATAATTCACTTAATTTCACAAGGCAATATTTTAACATGCCAATAAAAATTCTACCATTTCAGCAAATATAAGTGCATTTTGTTGGTTTTCTCATCATTGTAGTCAACCAATTTGGTTATTTAAAAGTTCCATAAACTATATTCAGTTTCATCAAGAGACTTTTCACCAGATTTTTCTTCCCCCACAGCATTTTAAAATTAAATTGAACACTTAGTTTGCTTTGTAGCTGTTGTAATGCCACTCAGATCTGAAATCCCCTTTTTCAAGTCAGGCTAGAATGGGATAGAATGATGGCATTCATTCAGATTACTGCATTTGCAATGATCTTTACACATACACTTAAATACAGCTGGTGTTTTGGGAGGCAGGGTTTTAGAAAGAGAGGACTTCAGATGTAAAACATTTCTCATCAACAATCCACCTTTAAAAGTCTGGTAGTAGGTAAGGATGTCAAGAGTACTCTTTTATCTTTTAGAAGACTTTTCTCATTTTTTTCAAGGTTCCAACAAATTGTCACAGTCCATGACACAGAATATTGTCCTTAACCAGGTTTTCTTCCTTTCATACTAGAAAAGAATAATGAAAGTAGGGAGCTTTCCCAGGTATACAGGGAATAGCCATTGGCTAACATTGCTTGGTCTGGGGTTGTAGACTTATTAGATGGCAGGGATGCATAACACCAGAAATCCTCAGTCATACAGGAAGGAGATACAGGGCTGAGGATATTTCCATATTTTACTGTTTGAAGACAGTCCCCAAAAACAATGCTTGATTGAAAGTTGCCAAAATAATAGTTCTGAACAAGAGACAAGGGAAAGGTTTCTTGAGAGTGCAGAATATTCCTAAAGGCCATCTTGCTTTGCTGTCACATTTAATTCTGTCTAGGCAGTTAGATCTTCACATTTGCACTACAAGTGTGGTTTTGTATGAAAATGCTGACTGCCTTACGCGCTATATATGTGACCATATAATGCCTGTTTAATAGGTCATTTGCTGTAGTTCTGGTATTGGATCTATCCAAACCTAATGAACTCTGGACTACTATGGAGAGCCTTCTGCAGGTCACTAGGAGCCACGTGAACAAAATTTTAACCAAACTAGAAAAGACAAACCCTGAAGTAGCTGCTGAAATTAAACAGAGAATGTGGAACGATCTGCAGAGGGATCACCCTGTAAGTTACTTCTAATATTTTCTCCAGATGTCACAGGCCTTTATACAGTTAAAGATAATGCTTTTGAAAATCATAAACAACTCTTTTAGATTTTTATGCATGACTGAAAATCCATTTGATGTAGATGAACCTGTTCACTGGAAAATTATAGCAATTTAATAAAAATTCAATAAGAGCAGAAACAAGGAAAGAAGGTTTCTTATATCTTTTTGTTAGATATCTAATGTGATTGTTATGGCATGTTACACCAATCAAAAGAAATAGTTTTAGAGTAGCAGTTTGCTTTTTTTCCCCCTCATCTTTTTAAAATGAAGATGAAAACTAGAATGTACAAAAGTCATCTAGCAAGAGACTAGCTGAAGGTACAAATTTAAGCAAAGAATATAGTTATAACAGCCATCAACATGACTATATACTTTGCATTTATTTAAATGTCTATCACAAACTCAATGCCTTTTGATAATCTGACAACTAATTAAATTATAAAGTTTCAGAAATGTTAACATCAGTCCTTTAAACATAATTGCTAACTAAATCTCTGGAAAAGCTAAACTAGATTATGCACAATAGAAATGAAAAGTCATTGTGCATTAAACCTCTGCAAATGTTGTGTGTATATAATGCATAAATAAGTATTCAACAATTCAAAGACCTGGCATGTAAATCTAGTTACTGTAACTTCTGTAAAATGCTTCAATACAACAAGTTCTTACAGAGCTCAGAAATTTAAAAGTAACTCAAAATATATGAGAAAGCAACATATGCAGCACTCCATAGATGTAGCATATGGGGTTTGATATTGGGATTATTTTGGTTTTTACTTTTAGAGAAGGCAATTCACAAAAAGATAACACCTACATCTACACCTGGCAATAAATTATGACCACAGTGTCTAGTTTCATATAAGTGTTTACAGAAAATTGCAAGCTTATTGCAATAAAGAAAAATAATAATGCTATTAATTGTTATGAAAACTTGGTATTCTTGCTCTGTAGGAAACACAATTATACCTTCTGAACTAAAATTTCTGCTACCTTCCATTATCAGACATCAATAATGCAAATAAAATATTATATTTCTGCTTGGTTCTCTTCTTATGTTCATCATTGTTCAAAGAAAAATTGTATAAATTTATTAAAAGAAAATGCTGTCTTTTATAGTCAAATCACAGTTTATGGAGATCTTTATGTTCCTTTTAATGGCTAAACATATTTTTATCATAAACAGGAATCAATGAAATACTTAAATTTCACCAGCCTGGCTAAAGAGTTATTTCTATGATGATAAAAACGTCAGTTGCAGACCTTGTTTAAAAAGGCTGGATGCATCTAAAGTCAAAAATAAATTCCCCAGTCAAAACATGAATAGGGTTCAATACGCTACTTTCAAGGTTTCTGATGTTATCCCAAATTTTCCTCTTAGTTATGAAATGAAAACTATTTTCTTAGTTTTATATTCTGTATACTAGTTTTTAAGTTGTGATAGTTTTGTTCAAAGCTTTTGCTTTGACAGTGTATGAGTGAAGCCATTATTTCTCCTCTCCAAGTAGATGATTTTCAGTATGTGCAGTTTCTGTCAACGTTCTGTCATTTAACCTGTCTGTGAAATCCCTGGGGTTAGAGGGAGCAGTTGGACCAACCTCTGCTACAACACATCTTTCTTGCACTGCTGCAGCCAAAGCAGCTTGAATAAACAATTGCTTGAACACGAGGGGATTATTTCATTTCATATGGACTACAGCAAACCCTTCCAGATCACTTGAAAAGTCTTGTAATTCACTTATTAAAATTTTTATCCCACATTAGCTATTTAGCACTTAAGTCTGCACTGTCAGACCTGTTTTCCTCCATTGATACTGATTCACATTTTCAAAACCACTGGACAATGTTTCCTTTTTGTGCTGATATCAAAAATTTAAAATTCACATTAAATATTAAGTGTTTGGAAAACATGATGTGGGGAGGACAAATGTGTGACAGAAACAAAGAATTATTTTTCTTGAGATTTTGTCTGTATTCTTCTAGATTTTATCCAAGGAAGGTGAATATGTCAAAAATTCAGTTCTACTAATCCAGCCTGGGAGGTGTTCTGTGAATACCTGAGGTTTTTCCCTCTCTTCCTTTCCCATCTAATAATGTAATATAGAGTGTAAAAGCCCTTTTATGCCAGTAAGTCTTCTGACTGCTCAGAGGGATTATTTCCTCACCATTTAGGAAGAAAATGGGAAAATGGTAGAATATTATATGGATAGTGCAATAAAGTTGATTCCTCTACTTTAAGGTTTGGAAAACCTTGTCTTCTGTGAATTAATTTTAACCCTTTTCAGTTGCTTTAACAGTTGCAATGTTCTACAGTTTGTTTACAGAACTTAACTGTCCTATATCTTTCTAACAGGACTATGCATTAGTTGACCCTTTTCCAATACCCTTGGTGATAATTGGAAGCAAATATGATATTTTTCATGTAAGTAATACTTAAGTACATTTGGAATAATTTAATTATTCCCAGTAAATATTCTGTATACTAAAATTTCACGAATATAATAGTAATCTTTTGAACTTAAGTGTGGATCTACCGCAAAAAAAAAAAAATCTTTCCATCCAACAGCATTAAGGAAGGCCTACTGTCATTCCTTCACAAAACACCCCCAAACTTATGATTTTTTGAGATGTACTTAGAAAATGTTGAGACACTGCAGACCAAAAAGGGAAGCAAGAAAACACCATGTGGATGATTTCCTTTTATAATGAGAGAAATCTACGTGTTCCCTGTGACAGCAGCTGTAAGCTTGTGGCAGTGAAAGAGGGTTGTATCTCAAGTCAGCTGATCAGATTTTTTTGGTAGTTGTGGCAGCTTCAGTCTGTAAAAAGAAGTAAACTTCTTTTAAAGTGCTTCCTAAGTCGCCAGAGACAAGTGAGTAATTACACCTTTTATGGAGGGGAGGAAAGAAATGTCATAGTATCAAACATATGTTTGATTTTTAGCAGTCTTACTGGCAGCCTGTGCTTCTCTGGATGGTTACTCAGTGCACTTGATACCTGGCTGACTCTCTGAGTTACTGAATTCTTCATTAATAAAGGGACTTGCCTTCTCTCATACCAAAGCTTTATGCTGAGCCATGACCTCCTTAAATGACTCTCATGTAATAAGGACAAAATGCCAACATGATTTCTTTGGGGGTCTATGGTTGCCTTCTGCAGGTGTCACTGAGACCAAGTTTTCATCCATTTTATCCAGGGAAAGCCATCTGTATGATCTTAGATTAAAAAGACATTGATGAAAAGGTATTTTGATGCACCTTTCAAATTTTGCAGGTATTACAATTTAGACAGTGTATACCCAAAGATTTACTTAAATATTTTCACAAAAAGAAAAAAAATCCTTATTCTTCTGGTAGGCTGCATTTCTACTGGAAAAAAAATTCAAACAATATCAGACAAATAAAATGAAAATTAAATGTACATTCTCAATTTAAATCTTTTCCTGGACTAACATATTGCCTGAATTGGGCTCCATCTGTAAAAAAGAAACAAAGAGAAATTGTGACATTTCTTTTCAGAGTAGGCTGTTACTGATTCTGTCTTAAGATGTAATTATGCTGACAGCTGAAAGCCTTATATATGGTAGCTTAAGTGCATTGCAGTTTATATAAAAAAAGAAAAGTTCTAACTGTAGTACTTTTGGTTTTGTTTCTTACATCTGTGTTTCACTATCAACTTTTTCAGGAGTTAGACTCTGAAATGAGAAAAATAATAAGCAAGACACTTCGATTTGTTTCACATTATTATGGAGCATCATTAGTGGTGTGTATATTCACTTTCTATTTAAGGATAGAGAAGATAAACAATATCTCTGTTAGAAAACAATATTTTTTTTTTAAATAGTACAGTAAAATTCCTAGAGAAAATGGGATTTCATTGGTTTAACAGTAACTTTCTTCATGGGGCTACATCTGTTGAAGAAGTCACTCTACTGGCAGGGCATGAATGGATGGACATGCCTTGTGAACAAACAAACTACACAATTCCCAGTGTCAGCAAAAACAAAATGAAAATAGTTACCTGTTAGCCAGCATAGTTCCTGCATTAAGTTTACTGTATCTTGGGCAATTTTTTTTTTTGGTACAAAAAGGGAAAATGGGAAAAAGTGATTGCCTTAGATTGAATTAAAGAACTGGCCCTTTTGGTAGAAGCATGAACTTACATCAAGTGACTCAGGGGCTCCTTTTCACAGTAGTTTATGTATACCAGATTACTACACTTAGGGTGTTGAAGAAGGAAAGGAGCTTCCTTACAGAATTGGGTAGAAAGATGCCAACATGAGGACAATTAAGTATTTATTCTAGTTTTTCAGGTCATCCTGAAACAGTCCAAAAACACTGCCCCTTAGGCTCACTGTGCATCAGAAGATGGGTCTAATTGTATCAACCATTATTCATGTAATAAATAATATTAATATTAGCTTAGTGATTATCAAAACAACTTATGTGTACTTTGAATACTTATAATCCCAGCATGTCCTTTTTCATCCATGTAAAGCTATTTCACTTTGACACATGAATTTGTCTTTTGTTAACTGAGAGTACAACGGCCTTGGTTGGGGTTTTTTTTAGTATTTAAGCATTATTGTAATTAAAAATTACAACTAGAATATAAAACTCTTTGTCTGCTAAATCCTCATTGTCATTGAAATGAGAGGGAGAAACTTAATTTCCCACAGCAGGGATCTGACTTCTTTTTCAAAGGCATGAATCTATTAGGATACAAAAACCCTTAGACAGGAAGAAGCATGTTGTTTGAGAATATATTCTGAGAACTGCTTTCTGATAAATCTGTATTGTTTTGCCATTTTTAAGCTGGTTTTATTACAATTATATTGTTATTTATTACATTTCTAAATGTTTGTGGTATTCTGGTTATTTTTTAAGGTAATTTAAAATCTTAACTCATTAGTTTTAGGAAAAAAAATTACGTCTTGCACATATTTCAAAAGTTTTGAATCAGTTTTATGCTACTTTTTAACCTTTCTTGACCTATATATTCAGTAAAAATACATTTATGTTTTTGAAAGGGAATGTGAGATTTAATTCTAGTCAATTCAGTGAACATATACCAAATTTATTTGGGTCAGGTATTAATTAGCAAGGCTCTATCCTCTTTGTAGATGGCAAAATGCAATGTATCTGTGATGGAAGTTCATAATATATATTATGTTTTCTGATTCATTTAGTTTACCAGTAGATCTGAGGCTCTCCTGCTGAAAGCCCGTGCTCTTATTAATCATTTGGCATTTGGCTATGATAAAAGGTAACATTATTGTTAACTATTAAATGTCTTGCTCAGAGCCTAAAATTATTTAATAAAAATATTTTAATAATGAAAACTTTTTTTTTTTTTCCTTAAATATTATCTCTGAAAGATTTTTGTTCATGGACTTGGACTCCAGTGACTCAACTGCCTATCTCTGCTAAGGACAGTGATAATTCCTGAGTTATCACTGAGTTGAGTGATAACTCAAACTGATGAATGAAAAATGTGAATGGAATTGAGTACTATTTTATTTACGTGTATTTATATGCAAACTCCAGTAAGACTTTAGTCTTGGCTACAATAATATTGATTTTTGTTGATTGTTAATTGCTCACTTGATAAATTTTCTTTTTTCTGTTTAGCAAGTCTGTATCAGTGGATCCCAGCAAACCTCTCTTTATACCAGCAGGCCTGGATTCCATGAGCCAGATAGGTTAGAATATTTCTTGTTCATTGTTGCTTAATTATTTTGAAAACAAGAAAAACATTTTAAGCAAATAGATAAATTAGAGCACATCAGTATCAGTTTTAACAGATTATTAAAGGAAATAGCTTATAGATTTTAGAATTATGGTTATATATAATTTATCAGTATATTACTGAGAATTATTTGTGCAGGTTTGTTAGGTAGTTTAATAAAGTCTCTGGACTATGTAAAACAGTAAAGTACCAATAAGCTTAGACCTGAAAGAAAACAAAATATACAAAACCTCTCAGCGCATTTCATGGTAGGAGATCAATTTTTTTTCAAACTTTTTGCAGCTTGTCAGTGTAGAAAGTAAAATACTAAATTAGATGGATCATTATGCAAAATTACTCTGTGATTTATGTTGTTATGACAACAACTTGTCTTACGTGTGCTGTGATCCCCAGGACCACCACCTGCCTCTGACAGTGATCTTGGAAAGATGCGTGCCAACACGCCTCTGGAACTATGGAAAAAAGTATTTGAGAAAACATTTCCTCCTAAGGTAGGGATATACATGCCATGCACACAGCTGCTTTTCTCACAGAATAGCAGCAATATCCCTGCTCCTTTTTGTTTCAAGTCCACTGTCTGGAATTGCAGTGTCACTTAGCAGTTCCCTTTAATATATTTTTTAAATATAAAGACTTGTATGTAGTAGTTCTTCTACATCTTCAGTTGCCTTCCTACATTTAGAAATTATGAAAGATGCTGTTCTCAGTATAAAATGCCCCAACATGATAAAGACTAAACTTTTCAGAGGCTACACAGAAATGTTATTTTTCATGTTAGTTTTCCTCATAGCCTTTAAAAACACAATAAGCAAATGTTTGCCCCGGCACTCACCCCTTCAAGTACCCCCTGAACTCCCCCTGAAACAGCTGGAGAAATTAATACACTTCTTATCTTGCAAGCTCCATCGCTGTTCATATGTCTATCAGTCTAATTAAAGATTTAAACATTTGCCAAATAGATTCACAGTCTCCTGTTTTGGTTCCACAGCAGGCTTTAACCTTTGAAGCTATTTTTATGCATTGTAAACTTCTTTCTCCATTGCCTCACTTAAGAAGTAGAATTCTGCTTTATTTTATTCCACCACTGGTATTATTGCCTTCTTGCTACTTCCATTTGATATGATTAAGGAGAAATGTGCAGGACAATATTTAAAAAAACCCTCCTCATTTGATAGTTTTTCTTACTATTAGTGTTTTTGCTTCTTTGGAATTTAAGTTTTATTTCGTTCAAGGCTAGGAAATGAAAAATCAGATATTTGGCACAGGTAGCAACCAGTTTCTCAGCTATTTCTCAGCTTCTGATAACCAGAACTGAATTCTGGTCATGAGTATTAAATGGTTTAGTAGGGACAACCTCAACTGTGCCCTAACATCATGGACCAGAAACGGTATTTTCATTTTGATACTCAAGAATAATAACCAGCCACCAGATAAGAATATTTTATGTCCTTTAGAATCTAGCTGCACTGTTACTTTTTCTTCATTTTACTAATAGAACAGCTTTTTGTTTTTTTTTAACTACTCTGTGTCCTGTAGCACAAAATTATTCCATAAATGCAAGCTTTTAATATATTTTTATTAAAAACAAATACTTTCACTTCTGTAGTGTGGCTTTTTCTTATTAAAATAATAAAAATTCCATCATTTGGGGTTTTGTCTTTTCTCCTTTTAGAGTTTCTGTGATTTACAAGATACCAAGGACCCTGCACAGGATAATCAGTACACTGAGTATGAAGTTGATGTCATGAGAGCTCAGAAAAACCAGGTGTGTGGTAATTCTCCAAATGCTGTTCACTGTCAGGTATTCCAGAATCACCAATACTGTTGAACTAATAGCATATACTCATACCTCCCCTTTTTGCCCCTAAATAATTTCAGCCTTAGATTCCAGTTTAGTAGTTAGTAGTGAGGTTTTTTTCCTGCTGTAAAGATACTAAGCCAGTAGACCATTGTTAGATCTCAAAGTTCTGGCTCTGAATTTCTTTAGAAATTAATAATTCAAAATTTCCCTCAAACTATTCTCTAGCATAAACTCACTAAAATAAACTTCAAAGCTTTCTTGACAATCATTTCCTCATTTCTTCACCCTGTACTCTCATCTGAATGTGGACTAACACAAAGTGTAGGAAGCAGTATCAAGGTCTGTGGTGGGGACTATTCTTTCTCCTTCAAAACTTATTTAAACTGGAAAAATACTGAGATGATAACATTTCTACCTTGAATTTGCAGGTTACAGACATTTTATCTTAAACAGAGTGAATGGAATTATTCCACAGTGATAATAATGTGGCTTAACCCCTGAATTCCAGAAAAGGCTTTTAGTGGGAAAAGGGTCTTCTATTTTTTCGTATTAATTTTGAAGAGTTTCTGTCTTTCTCTAAATTAGTGGGGAATTAATTTTATGGAAAAATTCTGTGGCAAACAAGATGAAGGTTAAAGGATTGCCTTACAGCTATCAGTATATAACATCAGCTGAGTAGCAGTACTGTATATAACAGTTTTCATCAGTATCATAGGTATGGGTCTGTTAAAATCAAAGCAAGATTTATCCAAAGAATAAAGAAATTTCAGAAATCCCCTGCAGCCTTTGAACTTGCACATTACCTGCAATATCTTGTTAATGTAGATATCAGTTCTGAATTTCTGTCACATCAAGAGCAGTCTTAGAAATCACTAAAATTTGTAAGCACGCTGCTTTTGGAATTTATAATACATACTCAGAATAGCTCCATATCTCAAAATAACTATATAGTGTACTAGGTTTGTTATTTTTACATAATAATACATTGCAAAAGCAGATACTGGTATGTATTGATTAAATCATACAGGAAATTATTAATTTTCTGTTTTTAAACAAAAGAGACAGACTTTTAGAATCCTAATCTGTTCAAGGGCATTGCAAACCTTTATAGCTTCTTTTTGTTGGACTACTACAAGTAATTTGATCATTACAGAGAAAATTACTTTCGTTATCTGCAGTTATTTCCTAAGTTTTTATCACAGAGTTTAATTTTTACAAGATTATTTGCACATTATTAAAATGTTTTATATCAGGAATTTGAAATGCACCAAGCTAGAAATATACATCTAAAAGAAAAGCACTCCCTAGTTGCAGTGTTCTTCTGTTTTCCAGTTCAATGGGAAGCAGCATAAAAATCATATTTTTAAAGCAACTTTTTAAATTCATCATGTGTCTGACATTCTTTATAGAGTCCCATGGCATCTGTTGTGTATGAGGACCAGTATAATAAGATGGTCAATATGCAACGTGTTGCTGATGAAATCATGGGACCTAATGCAAAATTAAAATTATCATGTGATGGCAGGGAATGTTTTCGTGTTATCATTTTTCTCGGTTACTTTCGGTTAATTAATGTTACTTTGGACTCCAGGTGATAGCCTATTTGCTTTTTTATCTCAAAGATAAGCTTTAAAAGAAAAAAAAGCACAAAACCAGCAAGGAAAGCAAAAAACAGCCTGTCATCACTGCATCTGATAGAAGAACCAGCAATACCTGACTGAGTCAGTCTTGGTCAGGACTGTTCAATAATACTGCAATATAGAGATAACTGTGGCAATACAAAGTTTAAATAAATCATTTCCAACTTTGTAATTTTGATTGAAGGATTTGCCTGCATTCTAGCAGAGTAAAAGATTGAATTTTAATTCATGAGTATAAAATAAACAGTTAAAAAACTCAAGACAGTCCCTGGCTGACTCCAAGATACTGTTAGCATTTATCTGAGATGCTGTTTGTCTGTAGAAGTTTAGAGTTCAGGTCATCAGCATTCTGACATAACTGTTTTCTTTTAGACCAGATTATTTTGCCTCTTTAATATTTTCAGAGTTAACTATGAGATGTATTACTTTCTTTCTAAACATTTTTGCTCTGGAAAGCTCTCTTAGGCTGTCTTTTCCTCACTGTGCCTTTCTTCAAGATGGAGCACATCTCTTTCTCAACTATGTCTTTTCAGAATTCTTTTCCTAGTTCTTGCCCCACAGACATACATAGCACAGATTTATATCAAATAGTGCTGTTGGAATTATTTACTGCTTTCCATTCCCTGTAGTTAAGCTACTCTCTCTCTGAGAGACAATACAGCACCAGGGACTCCTTTGAAATTCATATTTCTAATGTAATTCTTAACTAGCAGATTTTCTCCAGGAATTACTGGAATTTCGGGGTTTTTTTGCAGGGCTTTCAAGATTCAAAAAAATAGTCATTCTGCATAGCTATTAGGCCTTAAATGTCTAGGTTTCGTTTAGTTCTTCATACATAAACCACATGGAAATCTTGTCATCCTCTATCCATTCCCTGTTAGCTTTTTGTCTTTTGATGCTTTCAGGTCACCTTAATTTGGTTTTTGGTACACACATAACTTGAATAAGAATGAAATATTTTAAAATATGATTTCTGATTAGAGGTACATATATACATCTGCATCTGTGAGCACCTATGCAGAGCATGGAAGTCTTGTTCCTTAACTCCTTCTAAATATTTGTGGCTGTAAGAGTCTGGCACATAGGAATGTCTCTTCTCTTTCCTTTAGAAATGCTCTCTGCCACAGATGCAAGTACTCTAAGGTGTCTTTTTGAAGGTTTTTCTTTATTTCCTGTTATGCCTTTACTGCTAATACCCAAAATAGGTGCTTGGACCTTTTGATCTGGACATTTGACTGCAGCTTCATTCATTGATGCAACAGATAAAGCTCAACCTTGAGCTCAAAGAACCAGAGCACCTCCTATTCAGTTGATTCAGAAGTCATGCAGAGCCAAAGTTCACACTGACTCCTATTACACAGAGCTATTACTTCAGGGGTTGGTGCCAGTTCTTGCTGAAGACTCATGCCATGAAGTAAAGCCAAAAAAGCAGATGCCTGGTGCCATTTGGTGTCAGCTAACAAGTCATGGAAGCAGATCTTAACAGACAGAGGGGTAACTGTTAAGACTTTAAAAAGTCATAAACACAAGAAGATACTATATCTCACAAGGAAGAATAGTTGCATTTCCCTTTAGATTGCAGCAACCTAGTCAACCATGGCACTCAAAACCAAGTATCATTTCCGTGTCAGATCTGCAGCTGACACGGGGACTGTTGGCCAACAGACCAAGAGCCATAGTTTTTCAGCATACTTAGCTGATGTGAACATACTGCTGAATTTCAGGAGACCATTTCAGTCTCATTCCACAACACAGAAGATTTCATGCTGTGCCATGAACTGTTGGTAGTACCAGTGTTACTGGGCAGAGAAATATAACAGGCCCCTACCTTAACCTGCATTACAGAGCAGTACCACCTTTCATTTTCTCCACAGGAGGACATGTGCTAATCTTCATAAAAGAAAAAGTTATATAGGATATTTACTCAGCTGCCAAGAACAAGCGTTCTTGTTTTCACATTAAGGCATATCCAAATGGATAAAAAAAAGATTTAATTTTAAAACCAAATTAAAAACCATTATTAGAGCACATTATTAGCACTGTTACTAAATTTTCTACTAAAGTTTGTGTGCTTAAGACTTTTAATTAATGTTTCAGTACTTGGATCCTTTCACCATGTTCCAGATTGAGGGCACTTCCAGTAAGAAACTGCATGAAAAGGAAAGTTGAAGCCGTATCAGTCACTCAGAACAGAGGAAATACAACAATTAAGGCTTTTCCTACAATCTTAATTTTTCCTTCTTGTTTGTAGACATTGTAGTATTGTCTTTAATTACATGATCATATACCATTTTGCTGATGTCTCAATTCAATTGCTCAGTGTTTCTTTTTATTATCCTTATTCTTTATGTACCTTATTTTTCAACCTGCCATTCAGACACTTCAATGAACACAAAAGTATTAATTTTTTTTCTCTGAGAGTGTGTGGTAATGTTATCTTATCTGAGTGCCTCACAAACATCAGTTAAGTCTTTCTTCCAAATCCCTTTATGAGATTAGGTGTGATCTTCCCCATTTGACAGATGAAGAATTTCAAGAAACACAGAACTACAGAAGCATTAAGGTTTAAAAAAAAAAAAAATGAAGCCCACTTTATGCCGATGTTGAGACATCCATGATAAGCTGCTAGCACTAATTACATTTAAAGCACTCAGAGCGCATTGAAGGCACATTTAAATTGCAATTATTTTTTCTTTGTATATCTCTGCCCCCTACACTTGCACCCACAAAACAAGTATAGCATAATGCTAGCATGAAGATTTTGGTGTACTTTGAGATATATTCTTTTGTAGGATCTTCTTTCACTTTGGAGAGATGATCTCTTAGCTGACTGTATCATCTGTCTATTCTACAATTCTGCTCATGTTTGCAATGTAGAACCTAATGAGCAGAAAGGGGCCCTTTTCCAAGAGGGTCTCTGAAGTGATCCTTATGCAGTGTTTTAAAGAACTTTGCACTTCATTTATGACTTATGGGGATGTATTTTACTTTCTATTTTGCATAGAAATTAGGTAAGTGTACTTTGCTGACAACATTTTTCCCCCTGAATCACTGATATTTGTTAAAAGATTATTATTTTTTTCTAAATATCCTCCCATTTAATCTTTTTTTTCTTTTTCATTTCTCATTGTTTAAATGTTAGCCTTACCTAGATATATGTCCGAAATAAATACTTTTAATTTTGTTCTGTACTTCTGTATGTAGTGGAGTAGCTATACAGCTCTAATATACGCTGCGATTTGACATTTTGCATGTGTGTATTGTTTTGAATTGCCTTTACAGTGAATTGCCTTCTAGGCTAGCTAAACTTACAGCAAAATTAATTCTGCTAAATTATCTGCCTCTTTCTTGAAGGAGTTTAGTCAGATGATAAATCTGCAAGGGTAATTATTTAGCCAACACCTGTAGACATGACCGCTAGACGGTATTGTCATTACCTGGCTATGTAATTTTACCCCTTCCTGAAGCCTTTGAGAAAGTTTTTTAATGAAATTACTTAGCATAACACAGGTTCTATGTGCTCCTTAAAATACCACAGTATTCTTTCTGTTCCTAACTGTTGGCAAGTTTCCAACAGTTCATTATGTTCCAAGATCATAATTACTTTATATTAATAATGAGGAAGTGAAAATACTGAATAAAGACCAGCGTAGAGATAGAACAGTTCAATAGTACTGGAGTTGTAGCTAATAATGCAACTTTCTGGCTTTAGCCTAGACAAAATATGTTCTGTGTCAGTCACCCATGGAGTTACTTAACCCTATCACCAGACTCCTACAAGTATCAAGAACAATTGCACTAACTAAAAATCTTCTCTCTGCTCATACAGCTGGGGTGTTTTCTGAAAACTCTGCACCTCTGACAAAGCTGCTGAAGTTACTTCCTGAGAGAAAATTCCATCTATTATTTCCATACAATCTTAAAATGATGATTGCTTTATTGTTCTGCCCTTTAATTTCTTCTTCTTCCCTCTGCGCTCTGGACTGATAGTTAATACTTCTGTTAAAATCACCAGGTGTGAATTTTGTTATTTTTGTCATGCTGATACTTGTATGCCTACAGCAAAACCTCTCTTACTCTCTGAAGTCCATTCCATTAAAATCAAGATAAGAATTGTAAAACACAGCCACTTTTGAAGGTCTTTGCTACATTTATCCTAAGCACTTGTTTATGTCCGCCTCTTTCCTGATATAAGTAAGATATGGTGAGTTTTTTATCCTGAAAGCAGTACAGGGTTAGGTCTAAGAGTACTTCATTGCAGCATCATCTTCCTGTAAATTTGCTGGAAATCTTACTCTGAAATAAATGAAAAGCCGTCGTAATGCTTCCTAAATTATTATTTTTTGCTGAAAACAAATCTTTAGAAATTACTCCTGATAGTACACACCTCTACATAAAATTTGGCGGAGGAAAGTGTTTGTAATGGTGCTAGAACATTCTATTATAGGCTTCAGTGATCCCAGTTGACTGAGATGAGGTAATTTGTGTACCTTGCTAGCACTCTACTGATCCAAAATACAGCAAAATGTAGCTCCCTACATGACAGCAAATGTGTCAAAATTCATAGCACTTTTAGGATAATTTTGTTAAATATAAAAATATAGAACATTTTTTCTACAGTGAAAAGTGTTTGTACATACCTACATTTGCAAATAAATATGTGAAGTTTCTGGAGACTTTGAGTAATGAGAAAATTAGCTTAATATGTATTTATGTTTCTTTTTTAGGAACTTGAACAATACAAAAGAAATGCCTCTAAATCCTGGAAAGAAATGGATTTTGACTCTGACTGATGAACTGTTCTGTCTTAAGTATAACACCCCTTACAAAATTACTTTTATCATTTTTACATTACATTATAAATTTCATCTGAAGAAGTTGAAAATATGTAATACCAAGCTATGAAGTTAGTATTTATTAAGCATCCCTGTTTTTATTTTTCATAAAAGGAGCTGTTTATTCACTCAGACCAAATTTGTTTATCTTGGCACTGGCAAAGAGGTTTAAAAATTGGGGAGAAAAGAATTCTAGATTGCTCTCAGATGGGTTTGTATATGAAGACTAGCATTAGTCAGTTCTACTTATTTTATAACACATTATTTGATTTACTTTTGAATACTTCTACCCTAAGCATATATTTAAGTATAAACAAGTTTTCATACCCAAAATATGAAATTGCATAGTGTTTTAGGCATCTTTTTGTAGTTCAAAATCAAAGCTTAAGAAATAGTTGCATAATTGTTTGATATATTTGAATAAATAAATAAAACAGGCAGAATAAAGTGGAGTTAAAACCATTTTTGACATGAATTCAAAAGTGTGCTTTCTCTCTATCACAGAACCATAGTTTAATATAGGACTTATTTCTTGCAATGTATAATGTCACACAGAGTTTAGAAGATGGATATTTCTGTCACATATTCAAATTATAGGAAGTCAGTCTAATTAATTTGACAGATACTGAGAATATTATTGATTCACATTCAGCCTAAACTAGGAATGGTTTTTTGTCCATGCACACCTCACTAGTGTGAGATGCAGTGAGTGTTCTGAGAATACACAAAATAATCCAGATTGAAGCCAGAGGTGTCTCCTGAGAGCTCAGACTTGTCAGAGAGTGAATGTCTGCATAGTCACATAGCAAACCAGATCAACCCTACATGCTCATAAAAATGGGAGACATACTAATCTGGTATCTTGCCAGCTATTTAGAGCTGTTTGTTATTTTTAACATATTTGTTCACCAGATGTTTTTCCGATAACATATCTCAGAATATTTTACATAAAGATATGAGAAAAATAACTTAAGTGGAAATCCTGTGTTACCTTGAGGATTGGATTTAAAGTCCTTTGTTATGAACTGCCTCATCTCAAAACTATTATATAAAACCAGTTATATAATTACAGAATTTTAAGATACAAATATACTTACCTCCTTGGAGAAATCTATCGCTGCAAAAACTAATTTCTTCACAGAACATGAAAATAAGAGACAAAATTTAGAAATTCTGTGTCTGTTACGTTTTCAGTTTTGAAAGGCCCATGAGAGTAATTTCCAAGATGAAAATGACATTGCTTCTGACAAACAACTTCTATACTTTTTCCCTAGTTAAATTGACATTTTATTAAATAAAACCAAAACATTATTAAACAAACATTTTTTTTTCCTAGTAATTCATAAACTGCTTCCAAAACAAGATTCAAACTTGACAGTGAGAAGAAATAATTGATATAAATAACCTGTCTTTACTGATTTACCATCATTTACAAGGCAAAAACAAGTTGGGTAACTTTGATTTCTGATACTTCTTCAAGATCCTGTACTCATCAGTTGTATAGCGTGTATAAGATTAAAGTGGAGTGATTTCTAGATTCTGTCTTTACACGTATTTGGTTGTTTCCTTTCTACAGATTCTTCAAATGATATCAAAACAAGGCATAAGACCAAAAATACAGTTCTAGAAATGAGATTTACTAGCAGTGGGACCCCTCTGCTTATTAGTAGTGGTTAAAAAACAAAATAGTGGGGAAAAAAAATAGAGCACCATAGCTACATTGTAAAAAATTGTCAGCAATAGCTGACTAAATTAAATCAGAAAGCCCTTTAAGACATGAAATACTGTTGATTATGGCTGATCTGGAAATCAGCCAGAGAAGAGGGGTGGGGAATACCAAAATCAAGACTCATTCACACTCCTAAGAGAACACTGGTTTTCAAGATGAAACCAAACATGACAAGATGAATGTGCTTTTATATGTGTAATCATTTAAATTTTATCTAAATTCCAACAATATAAGCCTTTGACCATAATAAAGATACTAGTATTTGAGACTGTTGGAATTGCTACTTTTTCATTGTCTGTCAATAATTCTCTCCCTTAATTTGAAGCTTAGAATTGCAATAATGACAAGTACTGGTATAAAAGCATAGAGTATGAGGAAATCCACTGTGAACCGGGACAATGCCCCAGGGTAGTTTTTTTCAATGAACCGGATGCCTTGGGAGAAAACACACGCGGCGTTATTTGCAGTGGAACTGTTGGCTCCATCTGTCAAAAGAAACAAACAATTTCTTTAGTAGGTAAATCAGTAAAATTAAAACTCAAGACTCCAGTCTCTAGCTCATGTCTTGAATACACCTCTTCCTTATATCACTTCCATGAAGAACCATACCCACAGGAGTATTTCTCACCACAGTGGAATAAAACCAGACAAGCCCTATGTTTCTGTGGTTAATCCATGGCATTTTTTTGAAGGGAAGAACAAAGGGTCACTAAGAGGTCTCTCTTTCATTCATGCCAAACAAAGATTTATGGCTTTTTAGACACATATCTGGACTAGCATCAAGAAGCAAATTGCCCCAAGTAGTTAGACTTGCAGTGTTTGTATGTGTTGAGGGTTCCAAAATGCAAGAAATGGTGACTGTCTGAAGGACACATTAAAGATGAGGTGTTCATCGGTACTAATAGTGTCATGGATTCGTTTTCTAACAGTCGTTGATCTTGTAATAAAGCGGTGCAGGAGAGATTATTAGATAAAAAATATGTAGCCTTGGAGAGGAACACAGACACCTGGCTACAACACCCCAAATATCTTAGGGTAGGTCCAAAGCTGTAATTTTTACCCCATTAGTGTGTATTAGCTACTAACCCTTCCACCCTGATTGATTCTCTTGTTTTGCAAGTTACCTTGTTCACAGCCACCAAAGCACAGCCTGAGAGACCCAAGCTGCTTGATAAATACCATGAAAACACATTTGAACTGAAGCCTCTCTAGTATTAGAAGAGATACCTGGTCAGCTGTTTGTTACCTCTCAATATTCCTTCCACTGATGTTTGATCTTAGATTGTGCAATTCTCTTGATGCTCTATTTGTGTAGCATTGCTCAAAAAAATTTCCAGCCTGTAATAAACTTAGCTTCCAAAATTCCTCCAAAGAGGGGATAACAGAACAGGTGAAAAAGAGAAAGATGAAGAACTGGAAGAATGAGAAATGGTTGGAACAAAAGAATCAAATTCTGCTCAAGCTTGCTGATGTGGCATTATAGTCTTTACTAATTAGCAAGTTCTTTTTAGCAACTCAGAAGTTACCTTTATTTTATCAGCATACATGTACACAGAAGGAAAACCAGCATCAACATCTCATTAAAATTATTTACAGTGGACTTTTTCTGAACACTCACCACATGTGAAGTTTAAGCCATAAAATTCATTGACTACAAGGACTTCACTGCTGTATTTTTGAAATGTAAGAAAACTGAGTAGTTTGAAAGGTGTTGGCATTTCCTCAATGGTCCTTAAAAAACAGAGAAGTTAAGCTGGCTTTTGCTACATACTAAGAGCTCCCAAATTAAAACAAATTCTCGTTGTTTGTAACCTGTTAGAGAAACAGTTCTTGCCTCTACCTGTAGGGTTTTCAAACATAAAGTCCAATTTTAGGGCTAAGTGATGAGACAACCATGAAGGCTGTCCCTGCCTTTGGTACAGTGTCACAACATTCAGCCCTGACTTGTTTATGGACAGTCACAAAGAATTCTATGGTTGTTTGCGGTTCACATGGCAGTGATAAACTGAAAATGACAAGACCCAATATAAACCTTACTTGCTAAAATGTGTTGTTTTCAAAGTAAGAAACCACCCCTCCCTCCATCTTCAAAACCAAGTAAGATTGAATAGCAATTAATTGACACAATAATAAAGCAAAAATGAAGCAAAAATAATGAGAAGAAACATTCAACAATTTCAGGAAATTTCAGCATCTAAAATACTTCAGTACTTATAATTCAACAACAAAAAAAAATTAACAGGAAAAAACCCCCAGCAACCTAAGTCTCAATGCTATTTTTAATGTCCATCATTGCTTATGAAGATTAATCAAAAATATTAATAATATTAATGAGCAATGTCTGTGCCGTAAAATAAGGTCAGAAACCACTTTAATGCTTTTAAGTTATCATTAAGGCATTAGACTATGATAGCAGGAATAAATGTCACTACAAAGACACATTTTTCTGAAATTAGGCAGGAACCAAATAATTAGACATTAACCTAGCTTTATATCATAAGTATGAACTGAGATCTACTTTAAAGAGACAAAGCATAATCAACTTTGTGAAGATTCAGATGGTTTTCTTAAGGACAACATCATCTGTTGTTAGGCATACTTCATTTTCATTGGGAGGGTCTCTCTCAGGTAAGCATATCCTACTTGCTCAACATCTTAGGAAAACTGCTTTTAACAATTACATGTTTATTCTGGTATGTTCCTCAAAAAACCCAGTAACTTCAGTATTGACAATACAAGGGGAAAACTGTTCAAACTTCACACAATTAAAATGCAAAACCATTTATCTGCACAGTAATGGAGCAAGTGGATCACAATCTTCCAGCATATATACTATACTATTTAATAATTTTTTATAGATTTCAGTCTGTACAGGTAAAAAGTGTGACTGAAAAGTTTACTGGCTAAACTGGATAATAATACTAGTAAGACAGTTGATAGCAACTGCTTTTTTAAACCAGCATTACCAATGTTTAATGTCTGGTAAGTTCCAGCAGTTACTAAAAGCTGTAGGAACAGGGATTTTTGGTAGGCTCCTTTAATGAGGACAGCATTTCACATTATCATGTCAGCATCAGTAAAAGAATTTGGATGAGCTGATAGATATTAATTGCTCTGTTTTATCTTCAATGTATTTGCAAAAACTGGGGAAAATCTTCAATATCTTTGTTGATACCTAGAGGTATTAAGTGTCTGTTTTTGTGTTTAGTACAAGGCCCAACAAGATTAGGTAGTTCTGTCTCTGAAGGAGCACAGCTGCTTTCCATTGCTTTCCCTTGCTACCTGTGCATTACTGGATTTCTGCAATACCAACTGTTCTAGAAACATTTCCACAATTGTATCATTTCAACAGTGTAATAAAGTAAGATTTTTTCCTACCTTACTAGTCCCGTTCCCACTATCACACCAGCTGAATTAAGTAGCACCACACCACTTTGGACTATATTTGGGTCTTGAACCATGCCAAGTATAACAAGCGTTAGTAGTTCACCAATCATGTGAGATGCCAGGACAACAGCAAAGAAAATTCCAAATCTGGAAGCATCAGGATACAATCCTGTAGTCCTGTACAAAGATAAGCAACAGAACAGTTAAAAAACAGTGTTTGGCTAGTAAACTTGGAAAGTAGCTTTTACCTTTGTTTCTATTTGGGTTTTTTTCAGTTGTAACTCATTAAGTGAAGAGTTTATGCCTTAATCCTTAGTATACTGTTTGGAATCTTAACACAAAGGACATCCACTTACTATCATGATTTAAGT